ACTGTCACAGCTCATTGGACATCTTTTATTACTGTTTTGGCTTCTGCCAGCCCCTGTACTCTATATTACTATTCTACTGTTAAGCAGGCCTTCAGTAATCTCGGATTACTAGCCGGTTACGGTGCTAAACCCATAGGGGCGAGTTTGGGTCGTGACAGGTGTCCACCTATTACTGTTACCTGAAACTGTTATCCACATTTAAGACAATTTAGTGTCAATAGATTTGACATATTGGAGCAGACTAGCTTGATTGTAAATCAATTCTATATCACTGCTTGTACTGATATTTTTCATTCAATATATGTATATGCATTTTGAGGCCTATTTCGTCTTGATCATGCACATTGAGATTGTATTTTTTCTTTGACACACGACATGATGTATATTTTCACATCACAGAAGGATCATACACATTCTTATGTTTAAAGGCCCTACTACATGGATATGAATATTGCTTAAAGAGTTATTGTAACACAATATGACAGGTGTGAATATGATATTTCTTAACACATAAGTCAATATTCACAACTAATAATTTGATGATGTGATATTCACACCGTAACTTTTGATGATGTGAATGACAGCAGTAATGTCAAAATTCACAACACGTCCATGCATGCATCATAATATACACAACATCTTATTTTTGCTAGCAAAAAATACTCACAATTACATTTCGTAATACATATCTGAATATTCACATTTTCTGATTTGATGATGTGAATGGTTACATTGATTTAAATGTTCATGTCATCTACTTTGATGCTGTCAATGGTAACAAAATGTGAATATTCACACCACAATAATGTTAAAAAGTTTGACCCATGTGTAATTATTCACATAATGTGATTATCTTATACAAGTGTGAATGTTCACATCATGTATTCATTCTTAACACACCAACAAAAATGTCAGTTTGCTACCTAAAAAAAAAAAAAAATACAAATCAAATACTAATGCATTATTAGGTTTACCAATGCATTATTATGTTTGCCAACACAACGTAATCTTATTGCAACACAATATTTGCCAACATAACATAATCTTATTTCAAAAAATAATATAAGAATCTCATGTAAAACACAATGTTGAAATGAAAAAATGTATACCATATATCAGCACCTTGCATGATTTCTGATTGTGGCTTCCGAACTTATCACATCTCCCGCACCTTATTTGCTTCAGTTTTTCACCCCTTGATGGGATTCTATTCTTTTTGGGCTTGCCGGGTGGTCTTTTCACAATTGGTGGGTATATAGTGAAGTTCGTGGGATCAAAAGGCAGCTTTTTCACCGATGGTATAGAGAATATGGCACCGGAATAGGCTGCACGATACGTCTCTACATGAAAGTAATGTTCCACACAATCATTGAGATTGTAGCGACTCTTCTGAATAGTAATAACAACATGGTCATATGAAAATCCGTTGATTTGCCATTTGAAGCAAGAACTCGTATGCCTATTGCATCTTATATATATGCATATATATACATGATACTATATTCAAAAGTGTTGATTAGATTATATATTCAAACCTTGGTGATTTGTCTGTAAAGTTTGCAAAAGTGAACAAAGAAAATTTATACAAAATAAAAGGTGCCCATGATTACAAGAGAATTGTAAATCAATCTTTGAAGATGTTTTGCCTACAAAATTAAAAAGAAAAGTTGCAAAATTCTTTGAATTTGCTTGCATAAGAAAATAGACACAAAATCATGTAGTTCTTGACTTCGAGGAGTCCATAATGATGAGCAAAATCAATTCCCTATTTGAATTCAAAGATGTGATTCAAATTGTCTACAAATCGATAGCTCATATTTGAATTTTGTATCATGTCACACATACACACACACACACACACACACACACACACACACATATATATATACACTAATGAAACAAGAATAAAAAGTTGAAGCAAATTATTTGCTTGGTTGAAAGTTGTGTTTTATATCAAAATTTTCTAAAACATCGGCTGCATTTTTGACTAAACGAAAAGGGAAAAGAAAAAGTTACTCTTACTAATTATTTTAATTGTTTTCTTTATTAACATGTGCTGAATATTTAAAATTAAGGAGTGTGCTTATGTAAGCCATGACGTCAGCAAGGAGCCTCCAACGGGTATATTTTTATGTATAAATAGAAGTGTTGTGTGTGGAGAAGAAATCAAGAACTTGAAGAGAAAATTTTCTGTGAGCTCGAAAATTCTGAGTATATTGTATTCTGCTCTTTCACTTTCAGATCTAAGTCTATCTTTTGTTCTTACACTTTCATAGCTACTCTTTGTGAGAGAATTATTGTAAAAGAGGGTTTAAGTAGCACTTATTTTTATTCCTTATTTTTGTAAGAGAGTTTGTAAGGGTAAGGCATTTATTGTTGAGTGAGGCTCAATAGATAAGAGTAAGTCATGTGCCAAATCCACAAGCTTGGTGGTGTATTTATTCCGTTGATAGTAAAGAAATTCTCAAGGAGGTTCCTTGGGGAGTGGACGTAGGCCTAGTGTGCCGAATCACTATAAATCGCAGTGTTTGATTTTCTCTCTCTATATCTCTTACTTTTATATTGATAATTATTATTCTATTTTTTTTATTTATTAAAATTCTGAATATTGTGTTAATTTTAATATTGTGAAATTTTTAATAACTCAATTCACTTCCCCTCTTGGGTTACCTATCTGGGATAACAATTGGTATCAAAGCCTAAACTCTAGTTTGTGCGACTTAACCGTCTTAGAGTAGATCATGGCAACCCCTAGTTATTCTTTACCCGAGGGACAAGCATCCAATAGGCCACCACTATTTAGCGGCACAAATTTTAGCCATTGGAAAACTAGGATGACCATACATGTTCAATCTAATGATTATGAATGCTGAAAAATTATTTGCAATGGTCCAAAAATTCTTACCAAAACCGTAGATGGACTTAGGGTACCGAAACCTGAAGACGAGTGAGATGAATCAGATACTAGAATGACCCAAATTAATGTCAAAGCTATAAACATGTTGTACTGCGCCTTAGATGCCAACGAGTTCAACAGAATTTCCACATGTAAAACCACAAAAGAAATTTGGGACAAGCTTATAGTGATTCATGAGGGAACTGAACAAGTTAAAGAATCTAGAGTCAGTTTGCTAGTCCATAATTATGAACTCTTTAAAATGAAACCTGATGAGACTATTCTTCAAATGTTTACTCGCTTTACTGATATTATTAATGGTTTAACTTCTCTTGGAAATATATATACTAATGCTGAAATTGTAAGAAAAGTGCTTAGGTCATTGCCAAAAAGTTAGGAGGCAATAGTCATTGACATTATCAAAGCCAAGAATTTATCAAAGCTAAGTCTAAATGAGTTAATGGGATCTCTTTTAACTCATGAGCTCATAATGCAAGAAGAAAAGGAAGAGGAGGACAACAACAAGAAGAAAGGAATAGCTTTCAAATCCACCTCGAAACATCAAGAGGATAAGGAAGATGATTCAGATGAGGATGAGGAAATGACATTCATCACTAGAAAGTTCCAAAGGTTTGTGAGAAAGAAACAAAGCGTATGAATTTTTTTCAGAAAAGACTTCAATAACATGGATTTTCAAAGAGGAGAAAATCACAAAAAATTTGAAGTAACCTGCTACGAATGTAACAAACTTAGACACTACAAATCAAAATGTCCAGAACTTAAGAAAAAATTCAAGAAGGACAAGAAGAAAGCTATGATTGCAGCATGAGGATAAGATAGTGATGAAAGCGACACAGAAAATGAAGTTTGCAAAAATGAGGTTGCTAACCTATGCTTAATGGCAATTGGAAACGAAAATGAGGTAAATGACGAATCATTTACATTTGATGAATTACAATTAGCTTTTGATGAATTACATGCTGAATTTAAAAAACTTAATTTGAAAAATAATTATCAAAAGAAAGTAATTTCAAGTTTATCAAAAGAAAATGAATCATTGACTTCCAAGATAAATGTTTTAGAAAATGAAGCCATGAAAATGAAAAAGGAAAATGAGATTTTAACTCAAAAAGAGTCTTCAATTTCTGAAAAACATTTAGTTGTATTACAAAAAGAAAACGAGTCTTTAAAAAATGAGCAAATTATTTTAAAAGAAAATATTGAAGACTTGAAAACTACTCTTTCAAAGTTCACTCAAGGTAGAGAGACTTTAGATAAAATTCTTAAAAATCAAAACCGTACTTTTGGTAGAGCCGGAATTGGATATAAACCTTTTTCAAAAGTAAAAACTGACATCAGCAAGGAGTGTCCAACGGGTATATTTTTGTGTATAAATAGAGGTGTTGGATGTGGAGAAAAAATCAAGAACTTGAAGAGAAAATATTTCTGTGAGCTCCAAAATTCTGAGTATTCTGCTCTTTCACTTTCAGATCTAAGTCTAGCTTTTGTTCTTACACTTTCATATCTACTCTTTGTGAGAGAATTATTGTAAAAGTGGGTTCAATTACCACTTATTCTTATTCCTTATTTTTGTGAGAGATTTTGTAAGGGTAAGGCATTTATTGTTATGACTTTACTCCTCAATTCCATACAAGTATGAAGAAGAGATGCAATGGTATAAAATCGAAGAACCATCGTTCACCGTCGTTCAGTTTTAGACAAGATACAATGGTGTTATCATTGTTAATGCATTCATGGTTTTGAATAAATCAAAAAGAAAGAGAGATCATCATTTTTCAGTTTGTTGGAGAAGAGGGATTGTCGTTCGTTGTTCACTCATGGAGAAGGTGTGCAAATAAGGTGGGTGTGCATAACTTGGGTGATGATATTATGAATATGGGTAAATTTAGTATTACATGGTTGTTAAAAGAAATATTGTTAAAATTTAGAGTTTAGGGTGGGGGTTCAAAGAATTAGGGGGTCTAAAGAATAAATGTAGATGCTACTAGCTGCTCTCCTTGCCATTAACATTTTGGACTGAAAACAACATCAAGATGAAATTTGTATGAATTATGGGGATCACTAGTGTAATTATTCAATTCAGGCAAGCCAATGCTATTAGAAGCACCTCCCGCAGACACAGCCGCAGCCGCAGCCGCAGACACAGCTGCAGCCACAGCCACAGCCACCAGTGCTCCACCACCATCAGAACCAAGTGGGCCACCTCCATCGGAATCAAGTGCTCCACCTCCCTCAGATTTGAGTGCTTCAGTTCCCTCAGAATCCGGTGCTCCACCTCCCTCAGAATCGAGTGCTCCTGCTGCTTCAGAGTTGAGTGCACCAACTACGGACGATCAAACTCCTTCCTCCTCAGTGGGTGTTATGGATCTAATTGTACCAGCAGCAACTACCAGTAGTCAAGCCATGCCAGAGGCTCCCAACCCCGCTCCAGATATTCAAGGAACGAATGGTCCTGCTACAGCACCAATGATCGACTTTTCTTGATAAGCAAGACCTTAATAATCCATTGCCTGTGTCACAAGGTGGCCTCATTGCAGTGTCTTGATTCTTAGGAAGGTGAGGCAAGAATTTGTTTGTGCTTGAGGTAACTTACAGTCATGTCCACATTGCAGAGCATCTTTACCATTGATGTTACTATGCTGCTTTTCTCCAATACAGCTTGTTCAATAGTATTAATTTTTATTTTTTATTTTTTGCTGTGAAAATGAATATTTCTTTTCTTTTGTTCCCTTCCCCTTTTTTTCTTTTTTCTTTTCAGATTCCCTACTGAGTGCTGAACAATCGCAGTCTGTAACATGTCTAGTTATGGAATCTGTTGGCCTTTTTTTAATCATTTTATTTCTATGTTGACAGCAGTTTTGCTTGTGTAAATCAGTTGAGGTTTTGGTTGTCCTCTTGGTCTCAATGTTAAACATCGTATTCTGCAAAAGAAATTCATACTCAAAACAGAGCTTTCGTGTTTCTACACCAATTTTAGATAATTATACTATTGCTCCTTCTAGGAAAAACTTCACGTTGTTTCCCGTAATTTTTATTTCATATTCAAATCTTATACTTGCAATTTTGTTATAATATGGTGTTTTTGTTATGCTATTATTAGCACTTACTTTTATTTTTTGGATCCCCTCAATTTATTTATTTATTTTTTATTGCAATTTTGTTATAATATGGTGTTTTTGTTATGCTATTATTAGCACTTACTTTTATTTTTTGGATCCCCTCAATTTATTTATTTATTTTTTATTGCAATTTTGTTATAATATGGTGTTTTTGTTATGCTATTATTAGCACTTACTTTTATTTTTTGGATCCCCTCAATTTATTTATTTATTTTTTATTGCAATTTTGTTATAATATGGTGTTTTTGTTATGCTATTATTAGCACTTACTTTTATTTTTTGGATCCCCTCAATTTATTTATTTATTTTTTATTGCAATTTTGTTATAATATGGTGTTTTTGTTATGCTATTATTAGCACTTACTTTTATTTTTTGGATCCCCTCAATTTATTTATTTATTTTTTATTGCAATTTTGTTATAATATGGTGTTTTTGTTATGCTATTATTAGCACTTACTTTTATTTTTTGGATCCCCTCAATTTATTTATTTATTTTTTATTGCAATTTTGTTATAATATGGTGTTTTTGTTATGCTATTATTAGCACTTACTTTTATTTTTTGGATCCCCTCAATTTATTTATTTATTTTTTATTGCAATTTTGTTATAATATGGTGTTTTTGTTATGCTATTATTAGCACTTACTTTTATTTTTTGGATCCCCTCAATTTATTTATTTATTTTTTATTGCAATTTTGTTATAATATGGTGTTTTTGTTATGCTATTATTAGCACTTACTTTTATTTTTTGGATCCCCTCAATTTATTTATTTATTTTTTATTGCAATTTTGTTATAATATGGTGTTTTTGTTATGCTATTATTAGCACTTACTTTTATTTTTTGGATCCCCTCAATTTATTTATTTATTTTTTATTGCAATTTTGTTATAATATGGTGTTTTTGTTATGCTATTATTAGCACTTACTTTTATATTTTGGATCTCATCAATTTATTTATTTATTTTTTATTACAATTATAATCTAAAGTACAATTACAGTAAAGGATAACTTCTAATGGAACACTCATCCACCAAATGAAGACAATTAGAATCATATTCTACAACATTGTACACCAATCTCCCCCCCCAACCAAACCATTTGACAGAGACCATTCACCAACCTAAATCCTAAACAGTGTTCATCTTCTCATCACCACCCTAAACCCTAAACTAAAAATCATTGTCACTGTGAGCTGAAATTATTAGATTAGTCCAGCAATAAAGGATGATGACAACAACTCGAATGAGGTTGTCGTTACAATGGTAAGTTTATCTATCTTCTCGATCCTTAAATTAATGATTCTTTGTCATTTTCGATTATTGTTCTATTGTTTGAGGTTATTCGGTATTGGTTTGCCGACTTTTAAAGTTATGTTCGCAACACAGTACTAAACAAAAATATTTAGTTCGGAAGGTGAGTTCCGAATAGTAATGTTTTGTTTAGCATTAGTATGTTGAACGGTTCCCGTTTGTAGGTTTTTTACCTAGTTGTCATTCAATTAAGGGTTTTTTCCCTGATATATTGGAAGATAGATTTTTGACGACTCTTCTCCTCAGTTCCATATGAGTTTGAAGAAGAGATGCAATGGTATAAAGTCAAAGAAACGTCATTCAGTTTCAGACAAGATGCAATGGTGTTTTCACTGTTAATGAGTTTAGGGTTTCAAATAAATCAAAGAGAAAGAAAACTGTCGTTCTTCAGTTTGTTGGAGGAGAGGAACCGACGTTCATCGTTTACTGATGGAGAGGGAACGCAAATGAGATGGATGTGCATAACTTGGGTGATGATATTATAAATATGGATAAATTTGGTAATAGATGGAGTGTTAAAAGAGATAGTATTAAAATTTAGGATTTAGGGTGGGTGTTCAAAGAATTGGGAGATCCAAAGAATAAAGGTAGAGCTAATAGTTTTAAATCAAAGATTCATGAAAGTGTCTTTTTATTTCCAAACTGCCATTAACACATCATTCTAATAGACTATTTTGTATAAAAGTTCTATTTGCAAATAACTTTTCTTCAAACAAAGATAATTATAAAAAATAAAAAATAAAAAATTTACAGTTGGACAATAATATTATGCATTCTTCTAGCTAACTGAATAAGTGCTTTCAACATGGTGTGATTAAGATGGTTATATTTATACACACCAACTTTCTACTTTGTCCTTATCTTCAAGCTTATTATAATGTTCATGATGCATAGTACATATTAGTTTATTGATGGATCATTGAGTTGGGATAAGAATATTAGCAGAATTTCAATGGTACCACTTGGTACTATCCTTTCCGACTTGCTTCATGTTGTGGGTATCTACTATTCTACTCGATTTGTGGTTATGACTCTTGATTGATCCGCACAATCTGATTGATGGTCAAATGGCTATGTTTGACTCGGTTCTTATTCTATTTGGATCGTCGTATATATTATGGGTTATTCTAAGATTTAAGTAAAATATTCTTGTTATAAACGACTTTGAAAGAGGTAGTTGTTCTTTGTAATTTCTCCTTCTTTGATAGTAAAACCCTCTGCCGTTCTTCATCCATTAACGTAGATTTATTGTTGAGCTACATCTTCGTGTTCTTATATTGCTTTTGTTTTACTTTCATTTTTTATTTCATTACACTCGGCATATCTACAAGGATTTCTTCTTATTCTTTTTTCCGCTAAAAACACATGAAAATAATGTAATTCTACAGTGTACTATAATAGGAGTCATGTGCACTAAATTACCTTATCTTAGGCCCCATTTAGAGAGAGACTAAAACAATAAAAAAGTCAAAAAAAATTACTATAATTTGTCAAATCACTATGTATTTTTTTACACATTTTTCGTAAAAAATAAAGTCAATAAAAAAAGTCATTTTCCAAATACTTCCGTAGTCCCACACCACCACAGTGGCATGGCATACACATTCGAATGGAAAGACACCATACGTACATACATACAATATGCATGTGTATAAAATAGAAATATGTGCTAAAATTGGAGCATACATTCAATTTTCTAAGTGCTTTTGTTCCTTTATTACCATGATAGGTTGTTTTTTGGGATGTATGATGTTTTTTTTCTTTTTTCGGGAACAATTATGATAGTTCCTTATCATTGGACAGTATGTATGATGTTTATAGGACTAGGACTGCTAAAGAGGTTCAGATTGAGGAGTTCTTCTTGTTCCCATTGAAATAAGGCCCTTCTGAAGCTAATCACCCAATTTTCAGAGTTTCCCCTTTTATCAGCATAATCCCTGAGAGTCCCATCCTTCTCATATAAATAAACAAAAGATATTAAAATGGTCCACCACCAAATATCTTCCATGATGAAAGGTAGGAAGATAAAACAATCATCAACAAAGAAATGATGAGAAATATAGGAGGTCCCCCGACAGATTGAAATACCACAACAAACCCCATGATTGTCAAAGGAATAATGCTTGGGACCCCTTTTAGGGGTCACCCCCTCACCGCCTTTTGTCACGTGGCGGGTGGTGATTGGAGCAGGAAAAAAAAGAACCACGTAAATACTTATGTGTTCTTGCTTGTGTGTTTGTGTGTGATTGTTTTCTACCTCCTAGGCACAACAATATCAACCTCTCTACTCCTCTTCTCTGCAGTAAAGATTTAACGGGCAGAATTTTATGAAATAATTTCCAGAGAAACAAGAGACCATTTAGGAGGAAAGTGCAAAACACCCAAAGTTTTGTTGACGGGTCATCAGTCATCCTACCACACCTAACATGCAGAACTAAAGGCGGGTGTTAAAAAACCTGGACATAACCGATTAAACCCCAACTAGACCACTCAGATTTCAAAACACGGGGAATATGAATGGCTAGAATATGAGAAGCTAAGATGGGTGGGAATAAGGTTTGAATCAAGGGTTCTCTCCATTCATGCTTCTCATAATCAATCAAATGAGATACAAGAAAATTTTGAAAGAGGTTACCTAAACTAAACCTCTGCCTTGTAAAATATTGCTCACAGTTGGTGTCTAAACCTGTTTTAGTCGGCAATTGTCAGTTTTTAGCTACTAATTTTTTTTGTAGCCAAAAACCT